TTTTGCAAATAAAATGGTGGTGCATGGAAGGTGAACATGCAGCCCCACGCCCTATACTCCCTTTGCTTGACTATATATAGGGGCGGGAGAAGAGGTCACTGTTGTACCTACCCAGGAGGAGTCTCATTTGGCATCCTGTCTTAAAGCTAGAAGGAAATCCCTATGGTATGTTAGAAAACTAGCCACAGTTATGATCCCCCTGTCTGGGCCAATAAACCCAAGCACTACAGAAGGAAAGAAGAGAGTTAAAATTAGCATGAAGGGGCCAGTGGACTTGGAGAGAAAAGGTACTGAATGGTAGGTAGGGTGGCAAAGTGATGGCTCTCGAGGAAGAAAATCTAAACGTCAACACAGCCATAGAGCTAATAGCTACAACAGTCACCCACAAAAGGAAGACACTGGTCTAGCATCTACAAAGGACTTCCCTGAAAAATCTTATAGTCTTGGTTCCAGGCTGGGACTATCACTACATCCCTGTCTTTGGTATGGCAATGGGGCAGAGCTGAGAAAGGACTTTCCCAAAGGTATCAGGGATCTCCAGTTCCCAAACTTCCACCTTCCTGCCATCAAAGGGAAAGGAGAAATAAACCATCCACTATAACAAGGATGCTTTATCCCAGCCAAACTTTGGTGACCTTCTTTATTCTGATCCTCCTTATCCACCCCCTCCTACTCCTCCCTATTCCTCCTCCCCTCTCAGCTCCCACCCCAGTGCCTTCCCTCTGAGACTATCTTCAAGCTATTCTGTATAGATCATATAGATACTTAGTTGTTTATCTATTGGCTTCCCCATTAGAAAATGCACTCCTTGAGGAAACAGGGACTGTTTTTGCCCTTTCTTTGTACCCCCAGTTCTTAGCACAGTGCCTGGCACACAGGAGATACTTAATAAATGCTAATTGATTGACTTGTTACTCTTGAATGAGGTCCCTTATCTCACCTTACCCTCAGCTAAGTTCCCAGGGCACATTTTTTCAGTATCTTTACATTGACTAAGATTAACCAACAGTCCCAAATTCTGATTGCAAAGGATATTTTTGGGTCCCCTCACACACTAGTAGATTTGTCTAAGAGTTGACCTGACATCTTACCAGCCTCTGGTACCACCTCTAAATGGGGAGCAGACAATGCGCAAAACAGTGCCCCAATGTTTTCTAAGTCAAAGGGAAAAGTGTCCAAACCCACCAGTTCTGTGGTAAACAGAATGGCAGCACCAGAAGCACTGGCAGATCCTGGGCCAGACTAAAGGCAGCGGCGGCAGCAGCAGCACAGGAGGGAGGGAAATCCTTCTAAAAACACTGCATACCAGGAACACACTGGGAGTGGATATAATTCAACCTCTTCTAGGCTTGTGAATACTGTACTTAGTTATAAAAATAATGATCAGACCCTCTATGTCCTTGACCCGGACATCCAAAATATCTTTCCAAATAAAGCTATACTGCTGTACTACCAAAATCAGTACTGTGATTTCTGATGGCCCAGGATGGTCCTTACTCAGGCCAAGGTTCTCCCACCTGCTAACAGAGCCTATTAAGAGGCTGAGTAGGAGGCGAGGTGAGGGTGGCTGCGAAGAAACTGCCATTTCCCTACCTTCTCACCAATCCTCCTACTGGGTTGCCAAGGTCCCTGCACTCCCTATTCCCACTGGGCAGACTCCTCTGGACCTGATCTTGGCTGACCTGCTTCTCCCTTGACCTCCACTCCACATCCTGTGGTTTGGGCACGGGTGTTTTCTGAAGGGGAGGGGCCAAACACTGGCTACCTGTGGTTTGTGGAGTAAGAATGCAGCCACCCCAAGAGCAGCATGTCCAGTGTGGGGGGATTTAAGTACAAACCAAAGCAACTAAAGAAGAGGAAATGAATGAGCCTGGGTAAGGACAAGGTGGATGGACTGGGTCTGCTGGGGGAGTGAACAGTGGGAAAGGGGTATGAGTTCTGAAGGGGGCAAGGAATGAAGGAGGGGTGGTACATTAAGTAAAAAAATAGACTGCAGACAGGAATCAGGAAGGCACAGATAGAAAGAGACAGAAGAAAACAAGAGGGCAAGTTAACCAAGTTTCTAGACATTCAAGTCCATCAGGCACAGATGACCTGTCCCCAGTGTTTCCCTCTGACAGTAGCACCAATGCCCCTCTTCCTCCAAACACAAAAGAATTGGCCCCCCTCCAAAATCTCACTGAGGAAGGGCTTGCCCAGCACCAAGAGGTGCCTCTGTCCCATCTGTTGGTCCCTCCACCTCAACCCCACCAGGCCAGGTTTTCTGTCCCACAAAAGGAGACAGTCCAATCCATACCTCACCCAGAGCACCTCCAGTTCCCCAGGCAGGCAAGGGAGAAGATTCTGGGGCTTTCCCACCTGTTCACCCCTATCAGCGATTTCAACGGATACTTACTTACAATAATTACCACGATGATGGCACAAATGGCTCCCAGCATGATCATCATCTGGGAAAACAAAGGTAAGGGGGAGTAAGCCTCTCAGATCAGAAGAATAAGAAGATCCACGATTGCCTTTTCTTAAACTACCAAGCAGAAGGAATTCCCCATTTCTTGAGGTAATTGTGGAAATATCAGGACACCCAAAAGACTTTAACATGTCGTGTACAGGCTTCCTCTTTTGATGCCTACTTGGTAAGCTACTGCACCAGGCTAGATCCTAGGATGCCCTTCCTTTTTTTAACTGTGGCCTAAGAAACAGACTGAGCTCTACAAAATTTTAAATGAAGGTTCCATTTGCAAACAGTGATACTGGTTCACTTTTCTTTGTGCATTTTTATTATTTGGGGGTGGCTAGTTCCTTCTGAAGCAGCTGATACACAAGGTCCCTAACAGGTTGTGGACCAAAAACTTCTAAGTCTCTACTTACTTGGAACTTGTTTCTGTAAGGGAAATGTTCCCTTACCCACGATGTATAAAAATGTTTCCATGAGAAAACATCCGGATCTCAACTTAGACATCATAAGTGACTGAAAATTTCATAGAAATGTGTGTCCAGGAGTACATCTTCCCCTGCTGCTGCAGCAAGGTACTAGAATCAGCACTGGCTCCCAATGACCAACCAAGTCCTCCAGACCTGCTAAACAGAAAAGTTGTTTTTCCTGGCTTCAAACCACTTGGGAGCTCCCATGGTGACTGGTGGCTCTCCTTTCTTGGTCCACTATGGAAGGAAATGCAACCTTGACTTCCCCTTCCACCCCTCCCCAACTGCTCGTCTCACGAAGCAAGCACATGACAATAATCCGAACAGCTCTCTCCTATCCTAATGGGGATTAGTTTTTTGGGTATAGGTTGGACTAGATTTCTATGCACATTTTAAAAACGATGGTGTAAAGTAGGTTTTTTCTGATGTTAAAAAAATATCAAAGTAAGTCTTTGTTTAAAAAGTATTTTAGACAAACCCACAGTAAGTCTTTCTGGGAATTTCAGGGAGGATGGACGGTGGTGTTTTTTTAAGGAAAAGTTGGAATGAATTAGAGTAATTTGGTAAAAATATTTGTGGGACAATTTTTGGAAGCCACAGTTGAGCACTCCTCTTCCAAAAATGACCTAAAACACAAGTACTCTAGGAAGAGCTCACAGTTCTGGAGTACTCTGAAATTAACAAAGCATCTGAAGCATTTACAGAATAAGCTTCGACAGCAGGAGTGGTTATCTCCCATTTACTCGAATCAGACTGGCGGTAACAAAACTTGATCAGTCACACAGCCAGTAAGTAAAAGAAGAAAGAATTAAATTGGTCATATGCTCCAACCTGAGATGCCTCATTTATGGCAAATGTCAGCACAGCTGTGGCTGTGGGAGCTTCCAGACCTAAAGCCAATCTCCTCAGCAAGGGCAGCTGTGTAGCATAGTGGACAGAACATCAGGCCTGGAGTCAGGAACTCATCTTCCCGAATTCAGATATGGCCTCAGACATTTACTAGCTGTGTGACCCTAGACAAGTCGCTTACCCCTGTTTGCCTCAGTTTCCTCATCTGTAAAATGAGCTAGAAAAGGAAATGGCAAACTACCCCAATATTTTTGCCAAGAAAACCCCAAATACGGTCAAAAGAGTTAGAAAGGCCTGAAACAACTGAACAACAAAATGTCCTCCCCAACTACCCAAAAGCTACCCCAGGGTATGCCTTCCCAAGCCACCAATTCAATTCACTGTGCTCCAGGAATACACTAGTGGACAACATGGGGGTATTATTGTAGAGTCAATCAGGAAAGTACTCTATAGGACCAATGAGTGAAAATGGGAGGCCCTAAAGACTTCTTCCAAATTTGCTCAGAACAGCTCTTCAAGTAGCCTACATCTGGACAGGTGAAAAGTAGAGTTGAAATGATAGTATTACACTGATATTAGGCCCAAGAAAGGAAGAGAGAAAATTTACCTTACAATTTTTCCACCAGTACTTCCTCTTTAGCTTGGCAGCACTGCTCTCAAATTGTGATGCTCCTGCCTGCAAGGCATCTGCACGGTCATCCAATTCAGACAGTTTCTCATCCCTTTGCAGGACCTTGTCCACATTCACACGAATGATATCTACCACCTGAGGAAGAAAAGTATGTGCAATGCTTCAAGAAGCATTGGTCCAAAAAAGTCAAAGTACTTGAATTCTAGCTCTGACACTAAACGGTGGATAACAACCACTCTAGGCCTCAGTTTGCTCATCTGTAAAATGAGTAGATTGGACTACAGCATCAAAGCCTCTTCAATCTCTCTCATTCCCATTTGGTATTTCCATACTCTAGATCTTAATTTATTAATGACTGTGACTTGCATCACTTTGTAGAGAAACCAAATCGTCTGCACCTACCTCCTCCACCTGTGCCTGTGTTTGCTGCAGCCGCCTGTTACTAGTTGTATTGGGAGGTGGACCTCCCCCTGGGGCACCCCCTTCTGGGGCTCCTGGTGTAGGTGGCTGCGCTGGAGCAGACCTATTGAAATAGGAGGGAAATAAACCAAGTGCACATGAGAAGAAACAAAAAAGAATTTTATTATCCTCCTAGCAAACCCAAAGCAGAAGTGGTGGCTCTTTGAAAGTTACTCCTCTCCGAGACAATCTTCAAAGTATGGAGCCACATCACAAGAAGCAAAAGGAGAAAAGTTGGCCCCAACACTAGAATTTTTCAGGTCCTGATCCAGGCAGGCAAAAGAATACTAAGATAAGAGTAGCATCAAGGAAGATCATCTGGATTTCCTTCTCTGATACTGAACCAAATTCAAATGTTTCCAGGATGTTAGTGTTTTCTGACACTTTAGCCAACTTATAAAAACAACCTAGAATGGGAGAAATGAATCCATACTAGGGAACAAAAAAACTAGTCTTTTGGCACGTGAGTCTTGATGAGGGAAAAGAGAAGCAGTGTTTTCTGAGTACAAAGGGAAGGGAAAGAGCAAGCTGACTTTTTGTTTAAAAGGATCCTATTATGATTATGCTCTATGCAGTAGCTACTAACACTGAGGCTGCTCAATATAAGAAAACCTGGAGAATTACCAAAAGACAGGCCTATTGACAAAATGGAGGAAGCCTTCTCAGAAAGAACCTTCCCTTGTAAAAGAGGTGAAAAGAAGGTGTTTCTCACCGGGTCATGATACTGAAGACTCTTATACTCCCAGTCTTAGCACATGCATCATGGATTAGTCGACCCTCTTCTAGATAAAGCATGAGGTCTTTGGAAGCTCCTTTCAACACCTTCCCCCATTCCAAAGCAGGTTCGTGATATGAATTGCAACCATTCATTCAGATGCCTTTTAAATACCACCTAGAGTCCCTGGCAGAGGAATCTTCTAAACAGGTTTGTGCTTATATATACAACAAAAATGGAGGCCTTTGCCTTAAAAATTTCCAGAGCTCTAGTATGAAGCTCCTTTCATAAAAGGGAAAAAAAAAGCCTTCCTGATAAAGTTTTTGCTATTTCAAAGTTTAAGGATAAGATTCCTACCAGACCTCAAATGGAAAGAAAATCCTATATTCTACTGAGAGAAAAAGATCTCATAGAGCAAAGCAGACTATGAAAGTTACTACAAATCAGATCCACTGTTCATCCCCCCACTTACATGATTATCTCAAACCAGATTATTTATTAACTTCAGAAATCAGCACAGCTAATTCCTCTGAAAACTAACAATTCACCTTTTCCCAGTCCTCCTAGACTCTACCAGCAAGTTATAACAGGACAAAAATCCTTTCCCAATCACCCCTATTACTTAAGGAATCTCCTGAACAGAAGGGAAAAAAATTCCAAAGGAAGCTTGTATGTCCTGCTCCCCTCCAAAAGTAGAAAGAACATCAAGAGAAAGAAAGGAAAAAGCAACTCAGTTTTTTCAAGCTACCTGGACTGAGTAACCTGACCTATGAAATACGATTAAAAAATTCAATGGGTTCTAGACTGGCAATTTTAGTTTTGGAAGAGGGCCAGAATGGTAGCACCAATGACAGCATTAAGGTCAGAGATTGCTGGATGCTTTTCACCAGCTAGGACCCATCTCAGTAAGTACATCCCACCTGGTTTTGCCAACTGGAACTTTAATCTGAGAAGCCCCTTGTCTTCACTGTTCCCTCACACACACCCTAAAAATAACTAGAATCTCAGGACTCAAGTAGGGTTGATGATCAAATATGATTTAAAGGGCTCTGTAGTTATTCAAATTAAATCAGACATAATAAAAAGAATCGTGGTGTGAATTAGCCTGGAGTCTGAGACATACTACCTCCCCCTTAACCAAATGATGGTATTTTGGCAAGTCCCTGCAAATAAGTGGCTAATGGTGAAAATAAGTATTAATTTCCAAGGCCTTCAGCCTCAACGATATGTGAAATTATGCCACACAAGTAAATTTTTTTTTTTAATTTCCAGGCGTGGACCCCTATCCCCAAAGTGGCCATGGCTCTCGGCAGTGGTCATGCTTGCATGAAAGCACATTTCCATCACGGACAACGTGGGGCGATAACTCGAAGATTGCGACCACGGCTCGAGATCTCTCCCTCTTCTCAGGCTCGTTCTCGTATAGTAAGAAAAATGGGGGCCATCTGGATAAATTGGGTGGAAAAATTCTTTGCATTAACTTGGCTCCAGGGAGGGCAGGGCAGAGACAGGGGAAAGGGAAAAAAATGCTTGCAAGGCACGTTTATTAGTGGACCCTGCCAGACTGAAATGTCGCCTGCCTGCCAGTCTTCCCCCCCCCCCACAGACAGCCGGGGGAAGCCTGCCCTACCCCCGGCAGGGGCGCCCCTCCTGGAGCCAACCTCGGGCACACGACCCCGTATGTGGTTCAAGAGACAGCAGAGACACAATACAGGACGCTGGCTAGAAGCCTAGTCCAGCTCCTGTGAGACCTGGGAGGGTCCACAACACCCCTAGCCCCACTTGAGACTTCCCCCTCCCCTCCACTTTGAGGGACACCGCGCACCCCCTCTCTCAATGAGAGACACAGATCCTCGGGAGCCAGAACCGCTGGGGGAGGGTGCCGAGCGTCCTGGACACCGGCGGTGGGGCCCTGCGATCGCTAGCCGACGGAGGGCGAGAAGAAGCGCCTATCGCCCGGCCGGCACAGCCCAGGGCTGGGCGCTCCTCGGCCCAGGCGTCCGTTGCTGCAATGCGCCATTTTACCCCCTGCAGAGTCCGGGGCGGGGGTGGAAGGGGCCCCGAGGCCTCCCCACTCATCAGCAAGCTCCACTTACATCTCTCTGGTGGAAAGGGCGTGAAGGGGTCCGTCTCCTACTCCGGGGCTGCAGCGGAGGCAGCAAGCACTAGATGCTGCGACTGCGACGACGTCCTGCAGGACCTGACTCGCAGTCTCCACCTCTTCACTGAGAACTAATGATAAACTGCAGCTAAAGTTACTGCAGCCTCTGCCCCGGCTTTCAGGATTTATTAGGAAGGCCCCGCCTTCTGCGGTAACGTAAGCAACTCAGAGGTCCAATCAGCGCCCTGCGGAGACAAAACCGTAGCGCGGCGCCCGAGACCCGCCAAAGGCTCCCCGGCCCCTCCCCTCTGCCTTAGCCAATCGCAACTTTCCCAAACGTCCTCTCTCTTTGCTCCTCCACTACAAACCGGAGAAGGAAGGACTGCTCTTCTTCCGCCGCTTGGAACTTGCAAAGTGTGTGACCAATTAGCGCACGGACTGCGTAACATGCCCCGTGTTTCCTGGTTCGTGAAAAGACAATCACCAACGCGTCCCAGAGTCCGAAGGATGACTCTAAAGCCCGAATGCCTCAATTACCAATGAGATGGCCCGTAGGGAGTCGATCAACCAATCACCGAAGAGAAGTAGTTTTCTTGTTTCCCTCAGACCCCGCCCTGCGCCCGCTAGCCAATGAAAAGGCCCAAACGGCCCTGGGGGTGGGATTCTGTAGCGCAACGCCCACGCGTCGCCGCTATAGCTAAAGTGCGAAGTGCTATGAGCGAGTTTTTTGAGGGTAGCAGGCCGGAAGTCCGCCCTAGCCCTGGATGCCAGGATTCTGGATAGAACCCAGTTCGCGTGCGGAAGTTCTGAGAGGGGCCTCTGGGTGGTGAGGAGGAAAACAGGTATGCCAGCCTGCTGGCAGCCGTTGTGTAGTATTAATATACAGCGTGTCCCAGAAGTCTTAGTGCAATTTTAAGCCATGACACTTTGTGTATTATATACATTGTGAACCATACAACAAAAAATAGGAAGAAGGGGCAGCTAGCAGGCGCAGTGAATAGAGCTCTGGCCTTGGAGTCAGGAGGACCTGAGTTCAAATCCAGCCTCAAACACTTAACACTTACTAGCTGTGACCCTGGGTAAGTCACCTAACCCCTATGGCCTCACCATAAAGCGAAAAAAAAAAAATAGGAAGATGAGGTAAGGATGAAACAACTTATTTATAAACTTATTCCATTTATAAATCATACAAAAAACCTTTTCTCATTAAAAATCACAGTATTTTTGTTGAGAACAATACAATTGAATATGCTCATTTTTTAAAATATTGGTTTAAAATTTTGTGATGCCGCCATTCAGACGTCTGGTTCTAAGTTCAACTTGTTTCAATATTTGTTTATTTCAGTAGTTGGTTTTAATGACTGTCGTAGCTGAAAAAAGAAACCGTACAAAGATTCTTAGATCCAAATGGAAGAAATGCATCATTTGGCTGTGCTCACATAATCATGACTCAATTTTTCAATCCATCTAATTATGCAAAGGTTTTTGTTGAAATGTGGCTAGTAAATTTCCATCTTTCCTGATGTCAAAAATCAGTTGTCCTTGCAAACTAATCAAAATGTGTTCTATTTTGATTGTTTAACAAATAAGCACAAAATCCACTGAAATTCTTCATCTGGACATCAGAACAGTTTGGAAGATTCTATATCAAGTTTTAGTGGGCAGATGAGTTTTTATGTGATACATTTTCAGCGACAAAAACTTTAAAAACGTCTAATATTGTATCATACTGTCATCAATTAATATCTCAAAGTACAAATACATTTAGGACAAGGCTCATTATTAACTACTGCTGTTGAGTCATTTTTCAGTCATTTCCAACTCTTTGTGACTCCATTTGGGGTTTTCTTGGCAGATACTAGGGTGGTTTACCATTTCTTTCTCGGACTCATTTTACAGATGAGGCAAACAAGGTTAAGTGATTTGCCCTGATCACACAGCTATTGTGTCTGAGGCCACACTTGAACTCAGATCTTCCTGATTGCAGTCTCAGTGCTCTAACTACTGGGCCAACTAGCTTTCCCGTATTATTAACTATAGTAGGTATAAATAGAGATTTCAAATAATCTTTATAATGTTGGATTTCTTCAATTTCTTGTCATTTAATTTTTTACATCATAATGTAGAAGATGAAGAAATAGAAGTGTCAGCTCTGCCATTTTCTTGTTCATTTGTGCTCACATTATCAATCTGAGGTTTCTTTGCAAGAATTTTTTTAAAGTTAATTCTCCATTTTGTGATTGTTGGGATCTGTAAATCTCTTTGGCCAGGTACACAAACTACAACACATAGTATGCTGAGTGATCAAAAGAGTAAGGGAACCACTACCAACTTCTTTACTAGAGGTATACAAAGAGTACTTTGGTTGTGAACTATGTTTTCAGGATACTTCACCTTCCATATGTGACACAACCATCTGACACACAGACCAAGTGAGAGCAGTATTAATCCATATATTAAAGTAAGTAAAAAAAATTGCGTTTTTAGATTACGTGTGTGGGTGTGTCTGTGTGTATGTGTATGTGTAAATATATTTTTTTCCCACAACTCCATAGATCATTTTGCACATGCCCCACTTTGGAGACCACTAGATTCCAGCCCTGCATCACTGTTAAATCCAGAGCCAGTGACCGCTATGGGTAAGGGAGCCATGAAAGTTCAGGCTGGCGGGATAGGGAGATAGGTTGGATTTGTAGGAGGGGCAGTGTCTGATGGGCAGTAGGGATACTGCAGCCTTTGGGGAATAGCACAAATTATTTGTCTGGTGGTTTGAGTGTAGCACCACCTAGAGGGCAAAATGTCAGATCACAGATTTAGAGCTGGAAGGAACTTGAAGATTGTCTAGTGAGTCCAACCCTCTTATACTGAGAAACAGAAGCCCAGAGGGCGATATGCCTTGCGCTCTCAAGGGTAGTGTCAGAGATAGAATTTGAACTCAGGTCCCCTCGATCTGGAACAGGTGTTCTTTCCATTACACATATTTGCTGGTTAATTGATCAATTGACAAGCCCGCTTTTCCAAAGGCTTGCAACAACAAGGCCACGAGCTCTTGTGAGTTTTTAGGGCTACTGCAGTACTGACAGGGTCACTCAGAGATAGCTACCTACTGCACACCCAGGGTACACCACTGTCACACATCGGTACAAATACAAATATGGGGAGACGGGGATGGCAGGAACAACCAGAGAGATTGGGACAGTCCTCACGCAGGGGATGTTACCTGCATGACTAGAAGGAAACTGAGGATTCCAAAAGGTCAGTCAAAAGCACTAAGGGGCAGTCTGAGCAAAGGCACATAAGTAGGAAATGGAATTTTTAATTTGAGGCTCACCAAGTATGCCAGTTTGTCTGGAATGTAGAATTCATGATATTTTACTAAGTCTGGAAAGGCTTCTGGACAAGATGGCTGCCTGAATGGGGGCTGGATGCCCAGTCCTCCAACACCTCCACTCTAAAAAAAATTTAAATTTGTACTAGACCTAATAATGTTAAAGAAATCCCCTAAGAAACTATATTAAGTCAGTCAGTCAACCAGCATTTATTAATTATCTACTGTGTTCCAGGCACTGTGCTAAGTGCTACGGATACAAAGAAAGGTAAAAAACAGTCCCTGCTCTTAAGCTCACAGCCTAATGGAGGAGACAGAATGCAAACAACTTCCAAGAACTTATGCATACATGAAAGTCAAGAGAAATCTAGAAAGGTAAATATAATTAAGCAATATGGTGTAACGTCCTAAAAAGGGAAGAAGAAACGTGTCCCTTCAGAACCTTAATGTCTTCAAAGGGTATTGAAAAAGTGAAATAAGAAAAACAGTAGTATATTGTTTCTTTTCTGAGGGTTTTAAGAAGGGGAGAGAAGAGAAAATAAATAGGAATATACTAGTATAGAAAGGAGGAAGGAGGTGGAACTTGGTATTTATTCATAATTGGGGTACATAAACATGGAGAAAGGGGTAGGAGGAATGGACCTCAGATGAATCTCACTCTTATTTGAAGTGGATAGAGGAGGATTGTGCAGTGTGGAATAGGAATACATCAAATTAAACATTTAACCAAATGGGGATAAGGGTATAGGTTAGTAAGAGGGAGAATTAAATGGGGGAAGGGGATAGTCATTAAAAGCAAAACAAACTGTGATCTTGAAAGGAGAAAAAAAGAACTAGAATCTAAAGAGTGCTAATCAATTGAGGAATAGCTGAACAAATTGTCATGTATGAATGTAAAGAAAGATTACTGTACTGTAAGAAATGACAAAAAAATTATTATAGAACATCCTGGATAGTATTAAGTGTTGCAGAGTGAAGTGAGCACAATCAAGAGAATAATTAATACAAGGACAATACTGTAAAAACAACAACTTTGAAAGACTTAAGAGCTTTGATCAGCTCAATGACCAATGAAATGCCTACAGAGGACCTGTGATGAAGTACATTATTCTGCTCATAAATTGGGAATGATGACAGAAAGAGATACCTTTTTGGACCTGGATACTATGGATTATTTTGTTTGCACTTACTTTTTACAAGAAGTTTTTTCCCGGGGCAGCTAGGTGGCGCAGTGGATAGAGCACGAGCCCAGAAGTCAGGAGGACCTCAGTTCAAATCCAGCCTCAGACCAACCACTTGACACTTACTAGCTGTGTGACCCTGGACAAGTCACTTAACCCCAATTGCCTCACTAAAAAAAAAAAAGAAGTAGTTTTTTTCCCTTTTTCTCTTGTCTTTTAATGAGGTAGGGGTAGTGTGGAAAAGGGAGAAATAGCAATACTGTCATGGAAAAAAAAAAGGCCATTGAAACATTTTTTAGAATGCACACAAGAGAACAGAAGCAAGTTCAGGAGGAAGCACACACAAGCAGAACAGTTTTTAAGGTATAAGTAGAATTTTAAAATTTTGTATTGAAAAGGAGATTGTTTCACATGCATTCCTCCTTTTGTGTTCTGCTGCTGGAAATGCTCCTTTTGTTATTTAAGTTTCAGCTTTTTAAAAATGAAAAAATTTTAAAGCAGCAGGCTGGTGTCATACTGAAGAATTTTAAAGAATTTTGAGGAGTTGTATTTTATCCTAGCAGCCATTGAAGATTCCTGAGTAAAAGATTCACATGATCAGATCTGTGCTTTAAAAAGATTTGGCAGCTATGTAGAGGATGGACTGGGGAAAGACTGAAAAAAGGAAGACTAATTAAGGGGTAACTGAAATAGTCCAGAAGTGAGGAAATAAGGACTTTTAACTAGGGGTGGTGGCTCTGTGAATGAAGAGGGGACAGATGTAAAAAGAAATGCTGTGGAGGTAGAATCAGGTTGAAAGAAAGGGAAGAATAAAGGATGTTTTCGAGGTTATGAAGGATGGTGGTACCTAGCCCAGTGGTTCTTAACCGTTTTTTGTGTCACAGACCCCTCTGGTAGTTTGCTACAGCCTATAGACTTTCTCAGAACAATGTTTTTAAATACACAGAATAAAATATATAGGATTACAAAGGAAACCAACTATAATGACATGTAGTTATCAAAATATATATAAAAAAAGGGGCAGCTAGGTGGTGCAGTGGATAGAGCAC